CCGATTTCTTTCATGTGTTCACAGACCATCAGTCGCTTGATCTGGAATCCAAAGCACGTCACGTCCATATTTACCCGCGTGAAACGACCCCCAACCATGCAGAGTGGCCGTCCCCACCGCCGTCGAAAATAAAGTGGCAGGTGTGGCAGGTATGGCAAGTTCCTCGAGCTCACTCCGCGCCGCTTATTGTGCGTCACGACCGGGTTGCGTGGACAGCATGGTATCAAGACCGCTGGGGGCGTAAACCGCGGCAGCGAGAACACTTACAGACGGCATAGACACCCAACGCGACAGAAGGCACCCCCAGCAATTGCGCTCACCCGATATTTGCCTGATGGTTTTGGGACTGGCCCAAGACAGCTTTTCACTGGTCGAGGCGCTGAGCTTTGGTTTTCGCTACGGAAGACACGCAAGCCTCCGGATCAATTACACGCGAGGTTACGGTGGTCTGTGGTCTGTGAAGCACGTCACCCTGAAGCAAATACTCCACCCGCTTGAACGTACTCATTCGAGCGAAGCGAGATTTCTTATCTGGCCCGAGGTCTTGCCGCAATATAGGAGCCGATCAAGACCAAACAGTTTCTACGTCTGTCGGACTAATCTAGGTTTTAGACATCACTTGAGTATGAAGGGAGGTCAGCAGACCGCACGTGCACAGCAGATTGCAGCTATTGCATCAGTTTGCAGAAATAAAACACGCACAACTGGCACACATGCATGACAGGCAACACGCACAACGGACAACACACGTCCAGCGGGCACAGCGACACACGCTCAGCGAGCACAGGGAGCGACAAGATAAAGTGTCCAGCAAAATAGAGGGTGTAAGTGCTGTGAGCTGATGGCATTTGAACGCGTAGATAAATGAAGCAATTGATTACTTGAGACATACAATCTACATCTACACTTCCTCTGCAACCAGCTCCCCCAGATGTAGTATCTAGCGGTCAAACCATATCGTGCCAGTGTCAGCAGGGATGCAGAGCAAGCAGAGACCTTTGCAGACAGTGGAGGTTGGTTGGGATAGGTACACAGTAGTATTTGATGAGTGTGCAGTCATCCGGCCCGCGGGTCTCCGCATCCAAAAAAAATAATAATAGAAAAAACGTTAACGGCCTGACGACACAGGTTTGTGACCAGGGCACTATATATGGCACAACGGCTGATCAGTTTGATCTCAGATCGTGGGGACACCGGTGAGGTAAGGATGTCTCTGGGCGTTCCGAGTCTTGGGTGTACGGGCGCAGAGATAGATGAGCTATTCAAGGCGCGAGGGTCATCTGTACCCAAACTCCTTTTCAGACCACGACAAAATGAAAGTTCACCCGCACCCGTCCATGTTGAACGAACACACACAACTTGCCGTGTGGAGATTCGCCCGTGTCCAACAATACAAGCTGGTTCAGGCAAAACACTCAAATTTTGTTCCCCCATTGATAATGAACGCAAGCACTCACCAATCAACACACTTTTCACACAACGGTGACTCCTACGCTCAGCTAAAGACAGTGATAGCTAGGATTTCCGAAAACACCGTTGTGTGTTGGTTGAGCGCAATAATGTGTCTCAGCCAATCAGCGGCCTCCATGCTGTTCGAGTATTAACAACTCGAAATACCAATGAAGCACGAACCTTCTTCGGCCGTAGTTCAACCCAAAATGACCTTCGAGCGCCAGGGGACCCAACAAAAAAAAGAAAAAGTGCAAACGGCCACCGTTGGAGCGAGTTCCGCCCAAAAAGTTGAAATTTCCAGTGTTATGGCCCTTTGACGTCGTCAGATGGCCACCGGATGTATGAAGCAACCACTCAGACAGCATCGAAACGGTTTCCGTCGTATGTGTCTGAGGAAAGCTTAGATCGTTCCAAACTTTGCAGCTTGACAGGTATTGATGCTAAAATCTTAAAGCATATGCTTGAACACTGTTCACGAAGTTTTCGCGCTCCTACCGGCTTATCGGGGTCTGGCGGATCGGACCCCCGGAAGCCGGTAAATATGCCTCAAAAATTGGAAATTAAATGCGGTCGGCTCCGCTGTAGGGAGTGGAAAGATTGTACAAAGTTTCGTTGCCCAAGGAGCGAAACTGAGGTAGAGCGGTCGATTCAAGCGTACACTTCTGCCCAAAAAGCTCATTTTAGACTAAATCCAAGTAAATAAATGGTTCAGAGATAAAATTTAATGTTTTTGTCACAAAAAGCATCTCCTTCGTTCGGTTTTTTGGGGATAGGTCACCAAATCTTGCACACTTGTCCGCAACATCGACACCAAACTTATACGAATGGGGTTCTTCAATGCTTCATTATTCGCCGAATATTCAGTGTCAAGCGCAGCCTTTAGGAAAAAAAATCGAAAAACCCCACTTGTGAAAAGTTAGGGATTGATCTTGCGGACAAGTGTGCAAAACTTGGTTATCCATCTTCAAAAAAACAAACGAAGAGTTTGCGGGGAACAAATTTTGTTTTTATTGCGTGAACAAGTTTGTAGCGTAGCCCACGCCACCAGTTGTTGTCTCTGGCGGCGTTGTGTGTGATGGTAGATGATGGTGTGTGACGTGTGCCCTGCTACCACCAGTTGTTTTTGTTGTCATCGTTTCTCACAATCCCTCTATAGTGCACAAAAGATGCGGAGCCCGTGGTCGCAAAAACCCGGCACATACGACGCCGCGGGCAAACACAAAAAAATGGGTACAAACCACCCGGAAAAATAACAGGTACCCCACCGACTGGTCGAGCAAAGTGCCCTCGGAAAACGATCAAAATAAAATAAAAGTAAAGATAAAAAATAAAAAGGAGGACGCTTCCTACACCCGCCTAAAAAATTCAAAGGGTATCGTACCAGCACTAGGCACTACGCACCAGGGCATGGGAGTAACGGAGCGAACAGGACAAAGAGGCGGCCGATGGGCAGGTAGCCAGATGTATATAGACACGCCTGAAGTGAGGCAGGCCCAGGACCAGTGTCTTCCCCCCATGGCCTCGGGGGGCTTGTCGGTTCACCTCCTTGGTGATGGTAAACAGAGTGTTACATAGAGGCCCCCTTGATGGGACAACAAGGGAGTACCATTCACATCTCCAACTTCCATATCTGGGCCCCTAGCAGAGCCCTGTCCACATGTATAAAAGCAAAAGCAACAGCAAAAGGGAGACTAAGGTACCCACAAGGCAGAGTAGGCAGGGAGGACGTGAAACAAGAAGAACAGCACAGGGGCCGAAGGCAATACCACAAAGGACATAAAGGAGTAAAGCATACAGCAGGGAAGGGAACAGGGCGTAACAAGATGAACCGGGTACATAGTTCGCCACAGGTGCTGCCTCGGCCGCCGCAGTCGCTTCTACATCAGTGCCCGCTCGCCGTTTCTTCCCCCTACTGCCGCTTCCCAACTCTCTTTCTCGTCGGTCCCGAGATGGCCGTACTCTCTCTACTTCTGCTTCCCTCGCGCGCTGGCGTTTCGCGAACGCTTCCGCCTCCTGTCTGTGCTATTTGCTCACGAACCATGCCGCCTCGTCTTCGACCGTGTTGTACCACACCTCCGGGTCCTTGGCGCTCTCTTTCCATTTACCAGCCTTTCTTTTCGTCTCCCATGCTGAAGGCCATGATGTCCTCTCCTAGACGAGACACCCAGTCGCTCTCCTGCCCGTCCCGGTATCCCACGCCTCCCGCAATTGCTCCTAACAGCATGCCTTTGGGGAGATGGGTGTCCTCCATGCGCATAACAAAGCCCACGAAACACAGTCTCCGTTTGCGCACGGTGGCCTCGATGGTTTCCTCGTAGCCGGCTTGGATGAGGGCCTGGGCATAGGACAGGGGGCGATCTGAGCGTTTCCGCTTGCACCAGCCAATGCACCGTATCAGGAACTGGCGGTGGGTCCCATTGAGCTTCATGTAATGGTCCGCTGTTAGGCTCTACGAGGCGCACCCGTACAAGATAGTCTCTACCACTTCGACCTGGAGCAGCCGGATCTTGAGCTGGCGGTCGGCCCGTCGCCTGTCGTACATTGGAGCACTGTTCCGGCGGTAATACTTCCACGCTCGGCAGCTGCGGCTCGTGATCTCCTGGTCGGCCTTCCCGTCCGCTTAGATGGTACGTCCGAGGTACACAAACCGATCTGTCTGCTCGTACGTCTGGCCGGCGGCGCTGACCATGAACAGGCAATCCTCAATCCCTTTCGGCAGTATGCACACGATCTCCGTCTTTGGCTCCGACACCATCAAACCGACCAGGCGGCCACGTGCACTATGACCGACAACATCTTCTCGAGACTCTCCGGCGGGCACGAGGCGATGACCGCGTCGTCAGCGTAGAGCATGGCCCACAGGGCCTCCACGTCCTGTCCGACGTCACCTTGGGGTCCTTGTCGAAGTCGGCCACGGCGACCATGAGCATCACGGCAAAGAACAAGTTGAACAGCAGCGGGGCCGGGTTGCATCCCTGTCGGAGGCCTTGGCCCACGTCAAATCATTCCGAGTACTGCCCGTCGTCCGTTTGGACGGGCGCCCTCATGCCTTCGTGGAAGTGGCGAATGACCGCCAGCATCTTCGGGGGCACGACGAAGCGTCAGAGCACGTCCCACAGTAGGTCCCAGTCGACCGAACCGTACACCTTGGTGAGGTCGACGAAGCACGCGAACACCGCAATACTCTTCTTCCTCGCGAGCTCATGGAGCCGCTGGATCGCGAACAGCATGTAGAGCGTCGACCAGTTTGGGCGGAAACCGCTCGGCTCCTCCGGGAGGATGCCCTCTCTCGTTCACAGTCGTGGCTCAGTCGTGTAGCAACGACCCTAAGCATCACCTTGCGGGCGTGTGTGACGACAGAGATACCCCGGTAGTTGCCGCACTCCATCATGTCCCCCTTCTCAAACAGCACTTTGATGGTGACATCCTTCCACTGCTGTGGTACGTCCCCAGTCTGCCACAAGTCCTCGACCATAGCGTGGAATTTGCGGAGGAGACCTTGATCTCTGTCAAGAAAAAAGCTTGATCAGCTCAGCCGGTAGTAGGTCGTCCGGCCCGACGGCCTTTCTGTTGGCCATTTCCCGTACCGCTTCCTCAACCTCGAGTAATGATGGAATGCCCTCGAGTGGCACGCACGTGGGCCACCGCTTGACCTTGTCAGCCGCATGCAGATCGATGGTCGGCGACTTGGTGTTGAGAAGCTTGTGGAACCACCGCGGCCACCGTGGGCGAATAAACGTGGGGTCCCGAAGAACCTTGCCATCCTCGTCTTTGATGTTCTGAGAGGTGAACGACCTCATACCTTCAACGTCGATCATCTTCAGGTGCCTGTAGAAACCCACCTGATCCCCCTCGCGGCTCTCCTTCTCGAGCTACCGTACATAGCACTCGAAGAACGTTTCCAGTGCTCTCCACCTCGCGATGCNCGGCCACCGTGGGCGAATAAACGTGGGGTCCCGAAGAACCTTGCCATCCTCGTCTTTGATGTTCTGAGAGGTGAACGACCTCATACCTTCAACGTCGATCATCTTCAGGTGCCTGTAGAAACCCACCTGATCCCCCTCGCGGCTCTCCTTCTCGAGCTACCGTACATAGCACTCGAAGAACGTTTCCAGTGCTCTCCACCTCGCGATGCTGCGCTTCTTCCGCGCCGCCTTGAGCATCGCCTTCAGGATCGCCTCGAAGGCGCTGTATTTTGAGGCCCCACGCAGTTGCTGCTGGGCCGCCTTAATCTCCTTAGACGCTTCGGAAATCTCTTGCTGCGCTTCGGTCGTGTACCAGCCTCTCTGTCCTCGTGCGCACCACGCCAGCCGCGCGGTCTCGGCAGCGGCCGACATCACCGTAGCCGTCAGCTCGGCGATGATCTCTCCCGTTGGCGGCCTGAGCATCGTGGGCGGAGGGTGGCTGAAGGCCCCGCCTTGGAAGACGACCCGTAGGTGTTTGTCCTTCCTCAACCGCTCGAGGTCGATAAGGATCCGGCTGCTTCCGCTGTACCCCCGCACTCGTCGGTTGGGTGCGACACGGGGGGGGAGGCGGACAGTCGTAATCGAGAGGTGATGGTCAGAGTCTTTGAAGTCGACACGTTTGACGGAGACATTACGCACGAAACGCCGGGTCGTCTGACGCATGAGGATGGAGTCGAGGCGGTACTTCTCCTTCCCCTTGTNTCGAGAGGTGATGGTCAGAGTCTTTGAAGTCGACACGTTTGACGGAGACATTACGCACGAAACGCCGGGTCGTCTGACGCATGAGGATGGAGTCGAGGCGGTACTTCTCCTTCCCCTTGTTGGAGCTATGGAATGTGTACAGCACTCCACCTTTCGGTGTCCGGAAGAAGGTGTTGGTCAGGGAGAGTTGGTTGTCTGATACCAGTCCAAGGAGTCGTTCCCCGTTGTTGTTCATGACGTCGCGTCTGAACGCCCCCATATTCTTGGCATTGCAGCATCCGCCTCGCCTCCTACAAGTGCGTGCGTTGGCGTCCATTAGCACCACCAGATGGTCAGGGCTGTGAGCCTCCCGGATCGCTTCGTCGAGAGTAGTTCAGGAAGAGTCGTCATCACCGCCCGCGGTGGTGCGAACAGTTTCCGTGGGGTCGTATCCCACCACGTAAGTTACTTCGCAGGTGCGGCCAATTTTTGGACGCACCTTCATCAGCCTCGGGCTAGTGCACTCCACCGTCCTATCTTCCTCGGCCACATTCTCCCTCATGGCCTCCTTGATCGCTATGCCCAACCGTGTACGCCCCTCTTGTCCTTGGTGCCAGCACGGGCACCACTCCAGATGATCACGCGCCCGTCGTGTGCAATTGAACCTTGCCCCTCTCGCCGGATCTCCTTAAGTCTTATCACACTACAGCCGGTCGCGGAACAAATCTGCATGACCTTCATCACGTTGTGACCGATGGGGTTCCTACCGCTGTGGGCGAGAGTGCGTACGTTGAACGTGCCGAACGATAGGCCGCCTTCCCGTGCCTTCTTTGCAGCCGCCTTTGCGGTCGCTCCGGTCTCGTGTCTCTCTTGGTCCGCTTCGCGTTGCGGGTGTGCTTTCTTCCGTATTTTCCGAGCGGCGAGTTTCCTCGCGTCAATCCATCTCTGCAGCGGTCGGTTCTTGCCTGTGCTATTTTGACGAGGAGGGTGCAGCACTCCCTCCCCGCGGTGCCTGCGGTTGTCTCCCTTCTCCCGCGAGCGTTGGTTACTGACGTGGTATTTACGAATCTCTCTACTCCTCCAGCTTCGTGGGCCACGCTTTCCGCGACGGTGGTTGCCAAGTCCAGTTGCCGCATTGCATTACTGCCGCGGGAACAGTGTCCATACACACGTTTCGCCACTACCACCGTCTGTGCATTCTCACCGCCACGCCGAGCCAACCCGGGATACCACCCGCCTACTACCTGTTGTGGCCTGGTTCGCCCTCAAGGGACTCACCAGGTCGATTTCGGCCCCGGCCGGGGAGCAGGCCGAGGGAGCAGGAGGATGTGTTGGATGCGCGCACCGGAAGTATAGTTTAGCTACCTGTATCTACTTCACAGCAGCAGAAATCGATGTGCGATGATCATGACCTCCATCGTATGTATGCGGTTGGACTTCTTCATGAAACATCTCCCGCATCTCGGCTGGACGGGGGTGATGTTTCAGGGGCACAACTCTCTCTCTCTCTCTCTCACACACACAGGCTGAAGGCGGACTGGCAGAGAGCCACCGCTGGGCGACAGCGAGGGCAGCCGCCGATACCAGAACAGCCGGCGCCTACCGACAGATTCACGCGGCGATGCGCCAGCAGCGGACACCACAGCGGCTGGCGGAAAGACTGACGCACAAGAAAGTCAAATACAAAATAAAAAGAGAATATATTCCACTGCGGTGCCCCTCGCAATCACCTGCACTTCTCCCGTGGACGTACACGTCTGACGACAGTTATTACATCTATCAGCTGTCACTCTTGTAGCGGCAGCTAGTATATGTTTATCTCATACCCTTCCCTTGTCTACCTTGGCCCACTGCTGCTGCGCACCCTTTGATGTGCCGCTCAGAAATCTCATCGGCTCATGAACCATATCCTCTACAAGAACGCCACGATTCACCTGGTGCTGAGGCACTTGGGTGAGAAAACCCCCCCAATGCTCATCCGACGCATGGGGAACATGAGCCCACGGCGCCATCTGGGCGAAGGTGAGACAAGGCAACAGCGCGGGCAAAAGGGTATTGCGCGGCAGTTCACGCTTCGACCAGCGCGCGCGTGCACGCATCCGCAGCGATTGCGCCATTCTCCACCACGCACTTCGTCCGGTTCTCGGCACCGACCAAGTGCTGCTGCAAAAACACGCGCGAAGCGGCCACACAACCTCCGCCATCCGTGGTGGGGACATGCGCAGCCAGCTGACCGCCTGCAGGAACTACGTAAGCTTGTCAGCCGTATCAGGATGCCGCCTTGTAAACAAACCGCGGAGCCGCTCGAGATCATGCTCGACCTTGCCTTGACAGTACACCTTCCCGCACCAATTGATGCTGGTCTCCAAGAACGTGCCATTGTGAGCGGCCAGGTAAGGGCCAGGCCCCTCCAGATGGCTAAGAATCCGGTCGAGGGTGTCAAGTAAGTCGTCTTCACCCATCCCCCACTACACGATATCGTCTACCCAGACAAAGCGAATTCATTCATCCCCCAGGAATCGCTTTTGGATGGCCTGAAAATACGATGGGTCGTTTAAAATACCTTGCAGCACCCGCGTGGGCATGCAGAGGCAGCCCGGCGTAGCGATCGTGAAGATTTCCTGTGCCTCCGGAGACAACGGACACTGCCAGTACCCTTGTAACTGATCCGAGCTCCCATAGAGCTTAGCCGCACTGAGCTGAGCCATACTGGTTTCAGGTTTAGGCATGACACCACACACCTTCTCTACTTGCTTGAAGGCCTCACGAAAGTCACTCACCAGTCGGTATCCCCCTTTCTTCGGAGCCGCCATCGTATCGCTGGCCCATACGGCTGTATTGAGGAACAGCCAACTCAACGCAACCAGCCAACCCTTGCACCCCGCCAGCCACGCGGTCTTGATTGGGTTGTACACGTGCGGTCGCGCTTTAACATGCGCGCTCCGCGATGACCGTAGGGGTTCAGCGTTCGCGGGTGGGTTTCCATGACGTAGACTACGACGGGACGCATTCCAATGCTCGCTGATGATGCCTCGCACACGTCCCACGTGCGTTCCTCCACACCCGCTGCAACCGCGGAAAAAACAGCGCTGTCCAACGATGCAGACCGCGTTGATATCCACTCCTCAGGGCTCATATCCATGCCTGGGTCTCGCACCGGATCCGGCTCGGCTTGCTCCTGGCCTTCGCGCAGTTACAGAGCAGCATCAATGGCAAGCGAAACTCGGCGACATTCTTTGTGGGCCGCAGTCTCAACACCCGCGACGCTTGCGCGCGATCGCGCACAGGCCCCCAAGCTCTCGTACACATCGATACCCAATGCCTTGACCGTCCGGTTGCCGAGAATGATCACCTCATCATTACATCATTACCAGGCATGACGGCAAACGAGAACGAGTCCACCGACACCAACCTCCAACTGGTGTGCAAACCAATACGCACGGGGCAGCTTTTCTGTGTGACCTCGAGGACGCCACCGTCCGCTACTTTCGGCTTCCTGGATTTTCTTATCCTCCACGACCTACCTGCACACCGGTAAATGCAGCTTGCAGCCTAGTCGCGATACCTACTGATATAGTGGTGAGCCCCTGCCAGAATCCAAAATCGCAACAGCCTCTATAGCAGTCAAATTGGTAGTACCAGGCACCAACAAAGGCACGCGGCACCATTTCTCCTGCGAATCAACCGCGCGATGCTTTCAAAATCGAACCCAAATATACTTGTGGGCTGAACTCCACGGAAGCCGGCACGAACTGTCCGTCAGGGCCGGGTTGCACCCCCACACCCTTAGTTGGCTCTGGGAAAGATGCGGCGGCAGCGGCAGCTGACGGAGACGGGTCCGGGGGCGGAAATGGTGTCGGAGTTGCCTCTCCCGGGGATTATCCGGCAAAAAATGCCCTACCACCGACATGGCGTTGGTGAGAGTCGGTAGAAGATGCCCCCCCTGAGCCACGTCCCCCTCCTGAAGAAGGCTGCTGCGAAGGTTGTTGACCGTGAGGTCGCTGATGCTGCTGCGCGTTCCCCTGGGTGCGGTGCTGTTGCTGGGGCGGCGGTTGCTGCTGCTGCTTGCTGCTGCTGCATGGAAGTGCCTCCCATGCCCAGTATGCTGGGTAGAAGCTTGGCGTGGAACCACAGCAACGGATAGTTCTGCGGGGCGTGGCCTGGCTTTTTGAACCATAGACACGTAACAAGCTCGGCAGTACAAAACGCACCTGCACCGCCAGCTCCATCAGCGCTTTTCCTGTCGCCCATGGATGTTGTTAAGACGGTTGTTTACAAGCTTGACCGCGGCCACCACGCGATTGCCCACGCTGTCTGTCTACCAACTCAACCGTGCGCCACTCAACCGCGACATCCCAAACGATCTCAAAGACTAGCTCAGGGTTGTCCTTCCAACTACCTTGCATGCCGAGCTTGCTTCCGCCTTGAGCTTAAACTCGATCGGTGACAGACCTGTAACAACTGCTTTGCTGAGGGCAGCAGCCGGGTCCTTCTTGAACGCACCAGTAGAGTCGCGAAAAACACGTTCAGCACTCGGGTTAGGCTCGAGTCGGCTTTGAACAGCGTCTATCCGGTCTACATCATTCACCTCAGTCCCCTTTTGACGCTGACTGACCCGGTCGGTCAGCCTGAGTTACCGATGACCGCAGACACGCTTGAAGAAGTCAGGCAGGGCCTAGGACCAGAATCCTTCCCCCGTGGCCTCGGGGAGCTGGTTGATTAATCTCCTTGGTGTGGTAAACAGTGTACTGCTTCACACGATTCTCTCTCTCTCCAACTATCTCTCTCTCCTGCCAACATGCAACCAGACACATTGAAGCCCTAAACTACGATATCTTCGACATGCAGATATCTAAAGGGCGGCTACTACTACCCAGGTGCACTGCGTCCACAGGTCTTATGTTGGAGCGTTGGTTTGAGCGATCGATTCCTCTCCAGCACGCTCACTCTGTTCTTCATTTCCGAGAATACGGTGCAGCCGCGTTTTCGCGCAGTTCTTGGCCATCTGGGCGTGCGTTGGCCATGGGTAAGAGTTAGGTTGTGTGACATATCCGGTCAGACCCCTAGTCGCA